TTTTTTTTTTTTTTTTTTTTTTTTTTTTAGCCAACTCCCGTGATGGTTTAATGAGCATTTTTCCTGTAATACTGTGTTTTGGTGGGTCTGGCAAGGCTGAGGGACTTTTTGTAGTAGGGTCAGGATTTTACATAGTTATTAATTTTTATTACGTGTTCTGATACAGCATCCTTTGGTTTGAAAGAATGTTTACTGACTCCTTGTCCTGTGCCATCACTGTGACATGCAAAATGTTGTTTCTATGATGTTGAACATCCCAGCAACATGGCTTAATGCTGACCTAGCTCTTCAAACATCAAATCTTCCTGCCTTATATTTTTATGAGAAAACAGGAGGACTTGATTTCCTGCCACGGAAGCTGATGGAAAAAAAAGGCACCAATTGCAGCCCYGTGAACATTCATCCTCCACTGATGGGAATCTGCTGCTCTCACCAGAGCCCACACAGATTTTACAAGTTCATCACCCATATCTCGTTATATTGTGCTTGTGCCAGGCGGAAAGTAGCACTTGAAGTATTATCTGCTTTTCCTGAAGGCCTTATTTCCCTTGGCACGCAGTCAAAGTGAGAGCATTTTAACAAAGAACCTCCTAGAAAGTCATGGAGCTGGAGGCTTTCTTTCAGTTGATGGGATTAATTGCTCAATCTCAACATCAGATGCAAATATGCAGTGGAAATATTTAGTTTTAGTTCTGCTTTCTTTGCCTGCTGTGGCAGAAGATGATTTCCTTTTGAGATTCCCTCACTAAGTAATTCTGTTTTAAACAGTAGGAAATCTGAGAGTTTACTCTGAGTTTTTCTGTGCACTGGATAAGTTTTYTAGGTTTGTGAGCTCGTAAGATAGTGGTTTGCAGAATTACAGGAAGATTTATTCTTCTTGAAAGCCAGCTTGTCATGTCTATTGCACAGAGATCAGAAAGAAGTAGGAGCTGGGTTCCTTTATTGTATTTGAAATTAATTTTTCTGATACCCCAGGAGAAGACAACTCCCCCACATAGTCCCATCACCTCCTCTTCCTGCATTCATGTAGCTGGAAATTGTTATTTTTTACCAGTCAGACCTTTACTTCAAAGTTTGTTACCTGAAGCCTCATCTTTGAACTGTTATTCAAGGTCTGAATCTGTCTTTAGCTTATGCAAGAACTCACCAGGTCAGAAAATCCTCTTTTGGCATTGTGAGTTGATAYTCTCTGGAGCAAAGACTGCAGTAAAGATAATGAATGATATTGAAGCAGTTCTTTGGTAAGGAAGGACAATTTTTTAGAAAATAATCAGCATGGAAGAGTGAGTTTGCCTCACATACACACAGAAATGGCTGCAGGATGAAGCAGAAGCTGTTCTTCAGTTTGCACATTCCAAAACGACCAAATTCCGAAATTTTCACACAGATTAGAGTCAACAGAAGTTAAAAGGCTTTAATCAAAGATATGATCCATAAATAGTTGTTTTTTTGTTTTTTTTTTAAATTAACCCAACACTTCTGAAAGATAACTAAATGGCAGAAGATTCAATACACAAGTCAAAATTTGTTTCTGGCATGTTGGAGTGATTTAATTGGGACTAAGGAATGTCATCTTCTGGGAGAGTAGAGTCTGGACATTATTGTGTGATGCTACTATGAATTTTRTGCCATTATTATGAATGGTAAATATTTTTCTCTGGGAAATTGATACTGTTTATTATTCTAATAAAACCCCATTTTTATGTATAGAAGGAAGAGCCAAATACGAAGTGTGAAGAAAGGAATGGAGTTCCACCACTGACTTATTTTATCTCTCCTCCTCTTCCATAGGTTGCCCAGGAATGTGGGACAATATCACGTGCTGGAAACCCGCGAGTGTGGGTGAAATTGTCTTCGTCAAGTGCCCTGCACTGTTCAGATTCATCATCTCTGAAGACGGTAAAGTATTTTCTCTCGGTTCTTTGCCTCTGCCTGGTAAAGCCTYGTGGCCAGCACGAGTGTAAAACCTCATTTAGATCTTCAGGATAAAGGGACAACAAAAACTCTGCAGTTGGGATCCAGTTATAAACACATTGCAGAAAAAYGGGATATTTGTGTGTGGATACGTGCGTGTGCACAGGAGTGGGAGGGAAGGTGTGAAAAATGCCTTCACAGAYTACACAACATAAAAATAGCACAAATTTTAACTCCTAAAGGGAATATTCTGCCTTTGGGTCTCATTGAAYTCAGTGAGGACCCAAATCTGTGTTTGGGTCTTGGAAGACACAGTTTGAATCTGCTTTAGCAAATAATTAAAACTCAGCAAGTTCTGCTCATGCCAGCATAGGCTTGAGATGACCAAGGTGAGGAGCTCCCATGCTGGGGTTCAGGGGAGGAATTAAAGATTTCTGGAGAGAGGCAGAAGGTCCATCCTGCCTTTTCTGTGGTCTGTAGGAATGAGACATAAATATCCTTCTGCCCCTGTGCTGATAATTAACAGAGATCAGTCCATTTGCTCCCAGCACTGCAGATCCCCTAATTATCGCTGTCCTTTGAGGGACAAGTTCATCACTGTCCCCCAGGATCCTTTTTCCCAAAGTTTATTTTACCAATTAATTATTCATTTGCAGCCTTGAGTCCAAAATCTGCTTTTTTTTTTTTTTTTTTTTTTTTTTTTTTTTTACACAACAAAGACTTGTTTCTTTGGGAGACACTGTTTCCTACACAGCTCCAGGAACATTTTTGGGAGCACCATTTTTTGAGAAATACAGTTTAATACACAGCTCCAGGAACACTGAAACTCTCACTTTTARTACATCCATTCCGCTACATGGGCAGCATCCCAGTATCCTTGTCCYTRTTTCCATKGCCTCTGCACTTCATTYTTGTCCTCTGTGGAAAGCATCCTCAACATCTGCCAGTCCTGTTCTGCTCCCTTGTCCTCGAGGGAGGTTTCCCAGGGGATCCTATTGGCTGATTCCTCGAACAGCTGGAATTTTGCCTTCCTTAATTTCAGGGTCATGGCTTTATCCTGTGCCCCAGGGCTGCCAACTCCAGCCATTCACGGTCACTGCAGTCAGTGGGTCACCCCAATCTTGGCATCACTGATGCCACCAAACCCATRTCCCACTTTAGAAACAACATTAACTCAATATTAGTTAATTGAGTTAACCAATTATTATTAGCTAACTCAATTAACTAAGTCCAGGTCTCAAATAAATAGTTACCTGTTAATGGAAAAAAAACATTTAAACAGAAATAATTTTTATTTATTTAAATAAAAAACAATACCATTTTATTATAATTCTTTATTATATGTGTGCATTCTAATAATTATTAATTATATATATTTAGATAAATATTTGTTTATTTAAATAAAAATTATTTAAATGAAATTATTTTTGTTTATTTAAATAAAAATAGCATAGTCTTTAGAGGAGCAAATACATATATATTTTTTATATATATAATTTTTATTTATTAAAATAAAAAAAAATACAGTCTTTAGAGGAGAAATTCATATATATATTTATATATGAATACATATATATAAAATAAGCAAAGCTCTGTGTATTTTACCTATGCAAAATAAAGGGCTGAAATAACATTTATAAATAATTTGCTCAGGATTTACAGAACTGCTCACATACTGTACTTCCCATCTGGCCTGTARCAGGGTAACAGTGTGACCCTAAGGGAGGAATATTCCATCCAGTGGAAACATATGYCCCGTTCCTTTATCGCCTCTCAGGATCACCAATAAAAGGGACAGCTGTTACCTCGTCTAGGACTGAGTTTGAGGGGTTTGGGGACATCTGTTCAGTAGGAACAAACCCAAGATTCATAATTCATTAGATAAACAAATAAAGATTTAATCTGGRGTCACTGGAAATCTCAGCAGATGTGGTTGGGATTGCACTGCTGACCCCAAGGTGGAATTATCAACATCCCAAATCACTCTCCTGGGTGAATCAGCATCAGCTTTCCCATCATTGCTGCTAATTTTAATTAGTCAAGTATATTTGTTTCAATGAGGGTTTAATGAAAAAGTCACATTTTATGATGGCTCCCGAAATAAAGGGTTATTAGAGAACCATAATGTTTTTAAGACATGGACAATCACATTTTAGGGATTGTTGCAGTGTCCTCTGGCTGCTTCTCTGTTTCTAGAACACAAAACAAAGCTGGGCAAGGAACCAATATTAATTAATATCAAAATAATTCCTAACACTGCAACACTTTTTTATGATCATAAATCATTTTTACAAATGACAGCAATAACTTCAAATTATATTTTATAAAACTTGGTGCTCTGAAACACCTGTAGGTACAACATAATCACAGCGAAATCAGGATGCCTTAATCTGAAAGAGTGGGTAGGAAATAATCTCACTTGGCTTTGGATATTTCAATTTATATGTGAAAGTCTGAAGTAATTACATGGATTTCTGGTTCAGTGAATAGAAATCAATGGGCACTTGCAGAAGAYGCTTTCTCTGACCCCTCTCAAAAGCTTGTCTTGAGGTGAATGAAGTCACTGCTCGTTTGATGGATTTATGAAAGGAATTTGACTGCCTTTACTTGGATGTCTGATTTCCATACAGAGTAAAATGAGAAAAAAAAAATAAAAGCAACTACAAAAGAAAAAATTAACTAAGCTGTCATCTGGAGAGATGTCTTTTCAAAAAAAAAAATCAGCTGTGTATTTAGCTAAAAATACCAGCTGTTGCTGGTTTTAATCTGCTCTGCTTTAATCTTTACTGCAGTGGAACCAAGGAGTAACATTTTAGCTGCTCTCAACATCATAGAGAAAGTCCAAAGTGAAATTCAGTGTGGTTGGCAACCCT